CTGGGCTTCTGGGGCTCGCCTTGCCCCGGACCTGCCTCCGGCTTTGGGTCGACCCCAGGCGGGATTATCTTGTCTCCGTGCCGTGTTAGATCCAGCTTCGAAGCCGGCCCTGCTTGGAACAGCGGGCAGGGTGGCGGTTGTGTGGTTTGTAAAGATGGACGAGCTGCTGATGGAACACTGACGTGTCAGCATCGGCGCTGCGTGAAGCTGGCAGGCTGTCTGCCCTGGGCTGCTTCTCAGCCGAGTTTGACGTGGTCTCATAAGGCCCCTTTCAGCCAAAAGGAAAGCAGATTTCTCTGTTCGAAAGTATTTTTAATGCAGTTTGGAGACCCCCAGGTGATTGTGCAGGAATTGGCTTTGGCCTGGCAGAGCCGAATTACAGAGCTAGTAAGCTACGTAGGACTCCGGTGGGGACGTTTTTCTTGGAAAGAGAAACCACTCAAAATGTGTTTTTTTCTTTTAAGGGCTTTACTGGAGGATATGGCATATGGATCTTGTTCAGTCTGCAGTCCTGTATAGCGTAATGACCCTCATCAGTACCTATCTGGTAGCTTTTGCATATAAGAACGTCAAGTTTGTTCTCAAACACAAGTAAGTTCGGTGGCTATTTGAAGTAGAATTTATTATGAAATAATTTAACAAAACCAGCATTTACAACATTTTTTTAATGAATAAGAATGTCTGAAATATTACTTCAAAACTTGTTTTACACAGAAGTATCTCCTAATTGGTTTCTGTCATCTCTCTTGTAATTGTGGACTAGACTAGCCTTGTCAGCTAAGTGTACAATGAAATAGCAAAACTACCTTCGTTCTCAGTGGGTACTGCCACAGACTGTATTTGACTAATATTTTTAGTAATTTGATTATTACAAAACTGTTCAGTGTCTTGGCGAAGTATTATTCTTCACTGTAAGTACAACTTCCTGTAACCCTGGGGGTTTTTATTTTCATTTTTCAACTTAAAACGTGTTTCTTACAGAGTAGCACAGAAAAGAGAAGACGCTGTTTCCAAAGAAGTTACTCGCAAGCTGTCTGAGGCAGACAATAGGAAGATGTCTCGTAAGGAGAAGGATGAAAGGTAATCCACTTGGTTTTCTTCCTTCTCTCCCTTTTTGCAATACTACCTGGTACCTCTAAGGCTCTAGGTAGGATATTAGGGACTGTTGCTTGGCCAGTGTTTTTTTCTGTATTCTGGTAAGTAGAAGCTGTATGGTCAGCTCTTGTTCATCTAAAAAGCCTTTTTGAGGCAAGTTATTAATAAAAGGTCTCAAACATTGAAACCTTTATCAGTGAGGTCCTATAAGACAACCTCTCCGTCCCTGAGCTGCAAAGCAAAACAATCTATTTACAGGCCTTCTAATAACCCTCTGAAGAGTAAGCCTCATAGCTGTCTTCAGAAATAAGAAGAGCTCCTTTTCTTAAGGACAGGCTAGCGCAATGTATTTTGCACAGTGACATGCAAGTTCCTTCAGAACAGCATCTCCGTGTACTGCCGGACTGCACTGCTAATCACTGGTTGTACTTGTTACCCCTCATGGTTATCACAGGCAGATCTCAGTGTGCAGATTTCCAACTGAACAGCTCATGCTAATATCCAGGCTGTGCCTGACGAACGTGTCGGGAAGCACTTAGTATTGGAGTAGATGCCCTTTATGTACAAGACGCAAGGACATGAACTGTCAGCTCTTTGGAGCAAAAAGCTGTATCTTCTCTTCTAATTGCCAGGCACGCTGGTAGCGTCTAACAGATACAAACTCACAAAAAGTGTTATTTATAAAGGGCGAGGTTTGATGTGCCTGGTAGGAAAACAAGCTTAAGTCACTGAAGTGTACAAGTGCATAGTATATGCAGGGTTTTGTCTTTAACTAATGAGTTGACTGGTAGTTCTTGCTGCGCTCTGTCTTTTAGAAACTGGCTATAACAAGAGCAGCTGTGTGTGGTTTACTACACTTTTGGGCACCAGTTGTTTCATAATGGTGGGTGTGCCAGGATATGCTTTGATTTAAATGTGCCTGAAATAACATCTCTACTTGTTCCTAGAATTCTGTGGAAGAAAAATGAAGTTGCAGATTATGAAGCAACAACTTTTTCCATCTTCTACAACAATACTCTCTTTCTGGTCTTGGTCATCATTGCTTCATTTTTCGTGCTGAAGAACTTCAACCCCACTGTGTATCCTTTATTACCACGCTTGAAATAACCAGAGTCCTACTCCTGTTTGTTGTCATTAGTAGCTATGTTTGTCATGTGGGTTGTGAGATGACTCTTGATATGTGCAGTTCATTGTAGTACCTCAACTTAGAAATACTGTAACATAAAAATAGAGATTACAAAAAAAAAAATCTCCCAATTACGTAGAAGTTTAACGTCTGACGCGAGACCTTTTAAGGATATCACTTGGACAATATACAGAAATTGTTACAGCTTTGGCATTTCAGTTGTAATTGTGGAATGAGGAGGCAGCTCATGTTCTTACAGAAAGACTGCATCAGTGTTAGTTGCCAGGTGCTGCTCTTGCGTTGCAGGATTGTTTAGTTTCAATAACTGCACAAGTAAAATTTTTTGTTACTTAAGTAAATTAGTACTGCCAATCAGGGCTGCATATGTTAATTAAAGATCTGCAGTATTTAACAGTATTTATTTATAACTACTACTAAGAGAACAGGCTAAACTTCATGGGTGTCTTAATTTTGAAGTTAAGTACATTTTAGCGTTCTGCTAACAGCCTTGATTGTTAGCTGTATTTCAGGTTATGATGTTGCAATTTTAAAACTCCTACGGAGAAAGACCATTTCAATTCCGTGTTTTTCGTACGACTTCTACTAAGTGTTCTGTACAAAAGAAGTGGTATCTTTACAAGTGGATGTCCTTAACCTTTTCCCTCCAGAAACTATATTCTTTCTATAAGTGCTTCATCTGGACTGATTGCTCTGCTATCTACAGGATCCAAGTAGACAGAAAAAATCCACAGCAATTTATTTCTGTGAGAGGGTTCAACTGCCATACAAAACTTTAAGAGTGGAATAGGAATACATTTTTTTTATAGTGTGACTGCTTGGAGTATGGGGGGGAGGGTTTGAATCCAAAATGATTGAATTATATTTACTTTTGGTATCTTTACATGGTATTATTCAATAACTGAATTTTTTTACTTAGCAATGAAAGGAAATGGTGTCTGAGCAGTTACCAAACGTAACCATTCTGAAGCGCTGCATAGGTGTGATGGTACTACAGACTGTTAGACAAGTGCACCGTAAGGCACTGCTACACAGCAGCACAAATGGTTGTTCTTAAAACCTGTAACACAATTCCCCTCTAAGTTTGGTGTAAGAGCCAAACTCGCTAATTGTAAAAAGTGACAATCCACCATTTATCATTGTAACTTGAAAAGTTTTAATAAAAAGGAGGTTTTTTTGTCATTTAATTCCTTGTATTTCCATTCTCAATGTTTAAAAAATGGGTATTTTCATGGGCAAGCAGTGTGTGTAGGTTTGTCAACTCCTTCTGCTTCCAGAAGAAAGGAGTCTTCTGCAAGTCAGCATATGTATTGTTTTCATTGGAAATACTCCTCATTTTTAAGTAACTTGGAGTCAGGTCAAAACCTAAACAGTGTGTCCTAGAAAAATACTTTAGAAGTGGTATGAATGTACTTTTTTTTCATTCATCTCTAAAGTCATAAATACAAAAAAAAAAAAAAACAACAAAACAAAAAAAACCTTGCCAGCTTTCCTGGCACAGCTTAACAAAAATAATGGCTTTTTATAATGGGTTTATCAGACAATCCTTTTGCTTTTTTCATGCTGTCAATGAAGCAGTCATTTAACATTCTTAAATCAACTTGATTTTTTTCCTCAAAATATGTGGATTCTGCCTGCTTATTTGCTACTGAAAGGAGCCTTTCCATATTGCTTGCATAATTTTACTTTCCTTGGCCTATCACTTATTATAAATGATATAATTTGTATGTATTTTAGTGTAAGTATTTAGCACATGTGAAACAAATTTCTAACAAACTTCTATAAATGGTCAGAATCAAACATGAGGCCAAGCTGACTGCTCTGTGAGCAACAGGACTTGGACGTTGCTGTTTTGCTAGTCACTGGTGATTTGCTCAGCTCCTACCAAAAGTACACCGTACTTAAATTCAGACACGTGAACGGACAACGCTAATATACTCATTTAACCTGTCAGCGTTGGTAGGGATAAGACTGACCTACCGGGCGTTTTAGAAAGTGACAGGCATATTTTCCACAAGTCTGCCGTCTAGAGAAAAGCGATTTGAAGCAGCGCTTTCTTCTGCTATTGCTGTCAGTTTGCTGAGTCTTTTATTAACAGCTTTTCATCTTACCTTAGTTTTTGGTATTGACAGTTGCTGAGGCCTGGAGCATAGTGTCAGAATTTTTCTGGAGAGAGAGCTTTGCAGCACTGACAGCCTGAAACAAAAGGTGGGCTGGTTGGTTGGGTTGTTTTCTACAGAAAGCCTGGTCTTTTCTGTGGACGTCTTCACAGAAAAGGCTGGGGTTTTTTTGTTGTTGTTTTGGAATTTTGTTTGCTTTTGAGGTTGGTTGATCAGTTGTTTTTTCTCTTGCAATCCCCACTACAAGCTGCACCCAGTTCCTTCAGTATAATGCTGAAGGTTAGCCTAAAGCTAGGCTACTGCTTGGCATCCCATTGCCCTCAGAGCATTGGGCAAGCTGACTTTTAAGCTTTTGCTCTAAGTAAGGGACAATGCTATCTCGTTTTCAATTAAAAAAAAAAAAAAGTTGGGAATTAATATATTTTTAACACATTGTTGGATTCCCATGTATCTGAGAAGGGGAAGAGAGAACATTAAATTGTACCTCCAGAGGTAAGAAAAGTCTGCTACTGGGAAAATAATTATACTGGTAAAATAATAAAGCTGTTAACTGTATAATGGTCAAAGTCTTTGTGCTGCCTGTGAAGCAGATTTTAAAATACTTAAATAGTTAATTTGCACAGCTAACACTGCAAAGTTCAGGGATGTGGCCCAGAGCAGTGGAAGTAATAAATGCCGGGGAGGTGAGAAGTGCTTCGGTGTTGATGTCCGCCCCAGCTAGCTGTGACTGACCAGCCCAGAGTCATTTTGGAGAGACTGGTGACTGAACTGCAGCGGGATTTCAGTGAGCTGTCGGGGGGATGTTCACGCTGTGTTTATTTCAGGCCAAAATGTTACATAGGACTGATGTCTGCCTTAGGAGACTAACTTCTAGAAGTACCTTCTCCGAGATGCACAGCCAGACCTTCGCTCCCCGGCTGTACCCGCTCCTCTGGCCCAAGGTCCTTGTCCCTTGCCCAGCCTGGGTACAGCTGCAGGTTAGTGTTTCCCTGTGGAACGATACATATCCGTTTTCAACGTAAACCATTGCTGTTTCAAAATCGGTCCCACTATTAGTAACAGGTCTCTGCGTATCAAATGAGATGCACAAAATGCTTTTATTGTGTCCAAGCAGAAGTCAAGGTCAGACTGCATTTCTGGATATACAGCAGCTAAGTTCATTTACACATACCATAGCTCATTGGATTAAATACAGGAGAAGACAATTCAAGTATAGGTATATCTGTTCACGTGCTGCACACGCTCCGCAGATATCCTGAAGTTAAGGGGACTAGAATACAAGGGTCCTACAAATACTGTACATAGCTGTAGCCCCTTGGAAGTATGTGCCCAAAGTACGCGATTCAATACGAGTGAGAAATATTTACCGAAATCATAGATGCATTTTACAAAGCAAACTCATGATAAAATATGACGTGGTTCTTGAGGTGGGCAAATTAATATATAAGTGCTTACTCCTGTAGAGGGATAAAATGCTCACAAAAAAACCTACCTGTTTAAAATGGGTCTTAAAAATCTATGCATTTACTTATGCCCGATTCCAGAACAAGTTAAAGCAAATGTAACCTTCCACCAAAGTACGTACCTGATTTTTTTCTGGTATTTTTCAGCAGCTATGATTATATATAGGTATCTACATCCTTAAAAGCTCATGAATATTGAAATTTGCAATAGCTATGTCTCAAGCAGGCAGAAGTAGAGGCAGGTTTCTATAGATGCAAAACTCAATATTTTATCATGGATTTCTTGGTTTAAGGTTTATGTAGAATTAGAATTTTGCAACAGCCGTTGTTTTCATTAACCTGACATGCATGTTTGGGTTTTCTGACTGTGCTCTTCTGGCTTGTACTCAGAAATACTTCCCAGGAGCACTCCACAGCTGAAATAATTGTATAGTTGGAGTTGAGCTATCTAATTTCTAACTAATTCTCTGTCTTACATCCTTTATTCAACTACAAACAAAATCTAAAGCGTATATTCAGCATAAAAAAGAAAACAGAAAATTTGAGCTTGCCCCTTCTATCTGTTAACCTGAAGAAACTTTATAGTTGAGATTTCCCAAATGTGGATCTATTAAAACCTTAAGTTGTATCTGGCTTTTCTTCATTGAAAAAATAGATCTGTACATCCTTCTTTAATTACCAAGTACCTGAAGGTTATAAATTATTTTTTGCTTTACAAGTGTTTTTCACAGCACAAGCATGAGGTGCTAAGAGTAAAGTAAAAATTAATGAATTCAGTCGAAGGTAAGAAAATACAAGATTATTCTTGGTTAGAAGAGAGATCAACTGTGCTTTTAAATTTCACTGCAGATTAGTAGCAACAGCACACATCTCGAAGGGTCCAGTGACAGTAGACACCGAGCAGCAAGCTGCTGAATGATTCTCACGACCGGCTATTAACTCGGGGCTGTACTGCTGTACAGAGCATTTTTTAAACCATGCAGTCCAGGTAACTCATGCATTGCATTATGATCTGTAGTCCTTCTTGCTGTAGGGCTTATTTCCCAGAATATTATCTATTTCGTTTACAATATGGGATGTCATCTTTGGAAGGACCTGGGGGTAGAAAAAACCTGATGTTTAATCAAGCTTCCATGGTTTTTCCAAGTTTAAATCTAGGTTTTATCAAATAACATTTCCTCTGTTTTTTTGTGTGACAGATATTTAAACATTCGTCTAATACCTTTCTCCCTTAAAGGAAAAACTACTGTAGTGTCTTTACCTTGTGAGAGAATCACAGAAGTGCTCCTAAACTTTATATGCACAATAATACTCAGCTGCCGTGGAAAGCGAGCTGGAGGCAAGAAAATCAGAGGAAGCTTTTATTGTGAAAAGCAACAGAGAATAATTAGGGTGGGTGCAAGTGACATGTGCCCATGTGGAAGACTTGGCGCAGAATATATCACAACATGTCCTGGAATCAGGTCGCTTGCTTTTTCAGATACATTAAACCTGCTGATGCCACCCTCTTGTTGCTGGATTCAGCTATAACTACCACAAATGGTGGTAAGCCATGGTGACGCACCATAGGTGTGCCTAATTAACCTGCGTAACTAGAACTGGAAGATGCCTGAAACCAAATACAAAGTATTAAAACTATATTAAGAGAAGGAGGGTGCTAGTCTCAAGGTATGCTGGTGTTACCCCCAAAGGGAGCGGGGCAGTAGCTAACCCCCCACCTCTGTTGAGGTGCCACCACCACCTGCACTTGCCTGTATGGCTCCGAGGTTCTCTATCAGCTGCTCTGGGTTGGAAGATCCTAGAAGAACGGAGCTCACCCCCTCGTTTCTCAGGCACCACGCTGGGAATAAAGTCACAAGATGGTCAGGAACATGGGCTTCACAACACGGCATTACTCCAGATCCTAATGTTTGTCAGAGCTTCTATCTCTATTTGAAAAATAAGGACATCATTTGTCTCAACTTCACTTTGCTCCTCCAGTACAACGAGGAGGAAGATGCACGGGTCAGATAACAAACCACATAGCAGATCTTCCAGCATCCCACCTGACCCTGGGCCAGCAGTGGTCATAATTGTGGGGTTTGGTTTTTTGCTATCAAAAATCACAGGGATTCACCTCTTGGCTATTTGAACCAGGGATCATTTTTCTAACAGACATGTGTGGTATTTTTCAGCCTTGGCCCTCAGCAGCACAAAGATATTTAAAAAAAAAACAAAAAACAACTCTCTTTTTGAAAAGTAGCATTCTCTTGTGTCCATCAG